GTGAGCGGGGGAGGTGGGCGGGGGGGGTGGGGGTGGGGGCCCGGCTGCGGGGGGGAAAGTCAGTCGTCTCTAAAATGGATTATGAGCGCTTCAAGTCTTCAACATGTCTGACAGGCTGCAGATCTGTGAAGGAGCGCAGCTTCAGCTCCTCCAGATCCTCAGATCAGTTCCAGTCTCGTCCACTTGTCCTCAGCCGTGTCGTCGGTCCTGAACACCAGCGAGCAGGTGCCGATAAAGTAGCAGAGACAGCTGAGCGTCGGCCTAATGAAGGCCACTTATTCAGAGGGCGCGGCCACTGTTGGCTCGCTCTGCTCCCCGCTCGCCTGGCCTTTGATCAGGCTCTCAGCACACCTGACATTTACACGCCCGCACGTTTGCCATGTGTCATAAAACAAGCGCTCCTCGCACACGGGGCAGGGGTGATGTTTAATAACGGGGCGTGTATAATCACCCTGATTAGTATTCCTTGCTTTCCCGTGACCCCTGGGAGACGGCGGCGGTGGTGGGGTGTGTGTGTGTGTGTGTATGTGTGTGTGTGTGTGTGTGTGTGAGCCAGAGAGTAACAGATACAGACAACACGAGACGCCCTTGTCGTGTGTCGTTCCATTTGTTAACTCCTCGTCTTTTTTTTTCTATCTTGTAGCGACTCCAAGCATCAAAGCCATTAGTCCCAGTGAAGGCTGGACGACAGGGGGCGCTACAGTCATCATCATTGGGGACAACTTTTTCGACGGTCTGCAGGTCATCTTTGGAACCATGCTGGTCTGGAGTGAGGTCAGTCACCGCAATCATTTCATTCTCTTACAGCAAAGAAAATATTTCTTTTTGACAATGATGTGACTCTGAGATCAAAGGGTTCCAATCAAAGACTGTGTAATCTACAAAGGAACTATTATTTTATAAACTAAAAAAGAAATCCTGCTCAAAATAATTGTATTATTATTTCTTAATTATGAATACATTTTGTAGAGGATGATCTAAAATTTAAAAAACTCCCCACAGAAAAATTATTAAAAATACATTGTCATAACAAGTGAATATGAAAATGTATTTAGATAATTACAAATATAATGCATTAATTTAAAATTAAATGACTTTGTCATTTCTGTCTTTCGTCTTATTTTTCTTTCATGCCTCGCAGTAATATAGAATGTTTTATGAACTCAATCTCCGACATGTCCCGGAGCTAAATGTCAGATGTAAAAAAGAAAAAATGGGCAAAAAAAAGAAAAAAAAAATCGCAATAAATTTCTCCAATTAATATTACTGATATGAGCAAAAAAAACAATCAATACATTAATTCATAGCAGTGATTTCCAAACACTAATTAAAAAATATCGCTGTATAAACCAAATCAACGTTGGCCTCAGTGTCGGCTTCTTTTCAGTTGTTTTCATGTATTTGCATTTGGGGCGGGGCAGAGGTCCAAGCCCCGCCCCCAACGCTCTCATCAGGCCAATTTTCATTAATGATCAACACCCCTGACCCAATTAATGAATCTGTAATCAGAGCAACTTCTACAATAGTAATAATAATAATAATTACTTCATGTTGGATGAAATAATTCTTGTTGTGAAAAATCGATGCATCCAAACCATAATAAAATACGTTATCGTCTGTTATCTGGTCTGGTGGTAACGACCAGACCGGAGTTAGAACTAACCCTGACCTGGTTAAGTGCTGCTCGCTCCCAGTGTTGGGTCAGCGTGGTCGTCTGACAAACGGGCTGTGTTTTATTCATAAACAGACAACCGCTTCTGAACTCCTCTAACAGGCTCCGTGTCAGCACTGATCACCGTCCTCGGCTTCACAGTGACATTGCCTGTGGCTACGCGGCCACCGGGGGGCGCGGAGCCGTAACGCTGCCTTTTTTACGGCTGATTAGAGCAGGAAAGAAAGTCAGAAGCAGAGCCACCGATGGTCCCCGGAGCACGTGTTTAGTTTAGAAGTTTCATTGCATTAATCTTTCTGCCCCTCTGCCCCCC